ATATATATATACATAACTATATATATATATAAATATATATATATATATATATATATATGTATGTATGTATGTATGTATGTATGTATGTATGCATGCATGCATGCATGTATGTATGTATGTATGCATGCATGCATGTATGTATGTATGTATGTAGGTATATTTGTATGTGTTTATAGATAGATATATAGATAGATAGATAGATAGATGGCTAGATAGATAGATTATAGATATATATATATATATATATATATATATATCAAAGACATGTAAAGGAAGCCTTATGTGCAAGTACATTTTTTCACGATCTTCGGGCCTCAATAATTTTCTTGGCTTGTGCACAGTTCATGAAACTTGCCGTTGATGGTGTTTTGCTCGCTCAGATTAACATTATAAAGAGTCAATATTCAAGCGCTCTTGACGTCTCGTATCTGCATGCCTTCTTCGACGTGCAAGTACTTTCATGCACACTTTAAGAAATGCGGAGGAATGTGCTTGTACTCAAGGTCAACCTGATATACTGCTTAAACTGGAAATATTTTAAAAAAAGAATGTATTTATTTTAAAATGTATTTTTTTTAAAATCCCTTTGTCTGTGCCCAATTCAATAGCTTGTCCTTACACAGCATGTTGTGGACAACAACTGTTTCGAAAGTAGATGATATTTTGATGATTTCACCTTTGCCCTTGGCAGCGGTGTCGGCATCACTTTTAAGCACTTTCCTCATCTCTGCGACTGCTTTCTGTTGTGGTGAGCGGACCAGAGGTGATAGTGTGTATTAGCGATGCATGTCTTCACGATTACAATAGGAATGTAATAGGTTTTATAACAGAGCATAATTCATTATGAACTCGGACAACAAATATCAAAACAGAATAATAATCGCAGTTATGCAACCCATCACTTCGGGTGAAAGAGAGCAGTCGACTATCTCAAAGGTATATACGGTCAAATCCAGGGCGGAAGGGAAGTCTTGGCCCAAATACTATGATACTCGCGTGCAAGAGAGGTACATTGGCATTAACCGAGAACGAGAGGCTCTGTACATATCAATAGAAGGTCACTTTTTTCTCCTGCACATTCCATTGGTTACAAGGTACTCCAGATACCGTGCTCGTGACTCCTCGACAAACCTATACGACGTCACTTCTAGCCGCAGAAAGCTATATGGTTGGACACAAACTCCACGGAGAGTGAATGACACCATACAGGTGTGGAGAAACGCAACACTCGGCTGAATTCTTCATTTAAAAAACCCTAAATACACTGCAAAAGCCCCCCCCCAATTTTTCACGATGTTTCTCATCACACTTCCCAGAATAGAATTTCAGGACGGATCGTCGAACATACCACAAACACATATGTATAGCTACGCAATGCGAGTCTTAACAACCACATATATATCACTAAACTTATATAATCCATATTAGCGCATACCGGCACATTCCCCCTCACATGTCTGATCTCTGTAATCGCCTTGCCACCCTGCTTGATTTTCTCATAGATTGGCACATTGTTGGTCCTCGAGCGACCGATTATATATCCGTATGTATCTCCCGTCAAACCTGCAGAGATTCAAACAGAAGGTTACAGATCGCAGGTGAGCATAAGCAGTCATGTAGTAGAAACTAGGTTTGAGATCCACGAAAAACCTATTTAAAACGTGAAGGCCGAGCTCCTGAATCCGACGGTACAGAGAGGCTATCTGAATGTCTTTGCGATATACGAGGGATGCCAAGGCGAGTGTCCCCTTTGCCCGCCAATACGGTAGAAAAAGGACTACATAAGCAAAAATTCACAACAGGAGAATCGTACCACGCAAGGCGCCGATAAGTTTCAGACCAAGCTCGTGGACCTAACGTTCAGCATACGCAGTAGTATGGTTTCAATTAAAACCCGTAGGAGTGTAGGCAACGAAAGATACCAGCAGTATTGTAATTGGCCCAGCTTTAAAATACACACTTTTAAATATAATTTAAACATTTAAAGGTATTAAAATAACTTAAGACACATACAAATATGAATATATCTTAAACCTATAAAGGTATAAGCGAATCTTAAATATATAAAGGTATATAAAAAACTTTGAACCTACAAATGTATAAAAACCTTAAACCTGTACAAGGTATAAACAAATGCAAAACGTGAAAAGGCATAAATAAACCTTAATCATAAGGATACGGAAAAGTCCAATAAGCAGGGTACTACGTACATAACGCTGGCCATATATCCAAAAGCAAAGTACAAAAATATCGTGAAATCAACTACAGGTTGTTGTGTGCATAAGTATTGATGCCTATTTAGCAACTCTCTCACCTTTTGGCGGGAACCACCCAGAAACTGTACTTGTGGCGGGTTCTGCCTGTGTGCACATAGCCCTGTAGTTGCCTTGCACACGCACCTATTGCAACGATGCACATGTTCGCGCACAAAATGTGATGTAAAAGTTGAGTCAGATCTACGGGCGAAGTGATGTGTGCACAACGGACGGGAGCGTAAAGATTTGTTCTTGGGTTGCCTATAGTGTGTTGAGGATTGTGTGATGCATGTATACTTTTGAACCGTATTGAGAATCGCAAGCAAATGCACATCATGCTTCCAAATATCCACGAATACAAGAATCCTTGGCTCCCAGATATCCACTAATACAAGAATCCTTGAAAAAAGGAATACACTTTAATAACAAGAGTGTGCGAACAAGCATACACGGAAGGTCAAATGTTGAAAATGGCGACAAATCATGATTGGATCCTGGATTTGAAAGGAAAATGTCCTTTTGAAATCATGAACAGTTTAAGATAAAAATGCCCATAAATATACATTCATACATACATACACAAACACAAAACAAACACAAAACAAACACAAACACAAA